ATATCCCCGATAATCTTCTTAAAGTTTCATCACACCACGTTGGATCACCAACACCCATCACGAATTAAACACATAGCGAAATTAAAATCACGACGCTCGCAAATTAAATACGACGTCTGGCTGTCCCTGTTCTTAGTGTCACTTCAAGTAGCCTTTTCCCACTAGCGCAAACTCCGAATCCAAAGAACAAAATCATCGGGACATCTCGCATCGTGACGCCTTTTTTTTTTCAACACCCGTTGATACGTTTTTCGAGAAAAGGCCAACGATTGAATTTCACCTCGTGATTTACAATGGTGAACAATGAGGCATACTCATTCGACCAAGAGTTACCAAACGAGAAACTTGAGACTTGGATGAAGATGTGGTTAAACAGTATTTATATTAATAACACGCTCTCCCGCGCGCATACCTCTTTTCAAACTGGATCCTCGTTTCACGTATACGGTGTGTGTGTACCACCGAGTCGTCGCTCGATCCTTTCCCTTCCTTCGGCGTCTCGCCTCATTAAACATCGGTTTTAAGGTGAACCGTCATTAATCATTTCGGATAAAGAGAAATGTGAAAAGTCGAAGAGCACCGCACCTCAAGTAAAATAATAATAATAATAAAGAAAGTGTCGTAATCGATGATAATCATTTGGAAATATACGATCAATGCCATTAATTTCACGCTCAAGGACAGACAGCTGTAGAGAAATGGTGGAAAGCATACATATATACTCCGTACTTCTTTGACATTTTAATTTACGAAATTACGATGCTCGTTTTTTAATTATTTACAAAATCCTTGGATATTTTAGCACTGACTGCTCTGTAGACGAAGTACACCAGTGAATCTCACGGGATAACAAAAACTCAACGAGAAAGTAATTTCAATTTCATTTCCACCAAAGAGTTATATACCCAAAAATTCCGTCCCACCTTTCGTTCGTTTCGCCCGAGAAACGTCAAATCTCGCGCCCACGAAGAAAACAAAAAGCGATAGGGAGCCCAATGAATAATACCCACGAAAGAGTCGCGCACATTTTCTCAATTATTGATACATCCGCGAGTGACGCGCGAAACAACTCCCGCTCTCCCTTCCCCCGTTCGTGATAATTGCATCCCCTTATCGGAGCTCGGGCGTCTCGGCTCTCCCCGCGCGGACAAAGCGAGAACGACATGCACGTTCTCTTTAATAAGGGACCTTCTTCGCCGGATGATTTACGCCGCGAGCCTCCCGCACACCTATACACATGTACGGGAAGATCGGGTCGAAACCGAAAGCTCTTTCTCGGCGCGTATTGAATACGAGCCTCCGATGGAGATGACGACGGTGATATAGGAATAATAACAACGTATCGGTCCACGGGGGGAAGAATCGAGGGGCGGGGGTCGAGCGAAAGCGAGAAAAGAATGGTGCATTAGCGGGTTAACGCGACGCGTGTGGGTGGAGCCGGGGCGAGAAATAAAGAGGGCAAAAGGAAGCTTTGGACGAGGAGGTGCACGACCGATCGATCGGCATCCCTCGATAAGCGCGCGCGCCTAGCGTCCCCTACTCCCGTGTGTGGGAAACAACGTGGTGGTGTGAGCCGCGCGCACGTTATATACATTATTGTTTAAATGCACAGCGAGATCGGACGCATCTCGAGCGTAAATAATTTTCATGCGAGTGGCCGACCTCACGACCCTCCTTGCAACGCGCTCGAGATTGATCTCTGTACGAGAGCGGGGGGGTCCCGCTAACTCGATCGGTTATTTGCACCTCAAGGCTCTCCAGAGGATGATACGCGTGAGTGGGGTACTTGAGAGCGTGAGTATATTATTTTTTTTAATATTTATATACTCAAGAGATAAGGGAAACACATCGTTACTCGTGTTGGCTGTGTGTGATTTTTGTGTTTTCTTTCTTATCGGAGTACCTCTCGTATACGTATAGCTGCTGATGGCTTGGTCGTAGAGGGACGATGAGCGCTTCGGATGGTAATTATTATTGCAAGGCAGCGAACGATTTTCTCGGGCTGTGCTCTATGGTAATGGATTTTCGAGGGAGATGCGTTTTGCCGGGGATCGATGGCTCGCGAAACGTTTTCACGGCTCTAATAGATTCCCTATCTTAATCGTTTTCTTGGGTCCAGGGCGAAAAACACAGCCTCGATCAAATTACACCTTAGCTTGATTTTTTTATTTTATTGTTGCTTTCGCGCGCATTATCGGGCCTGCCCATCGTTTTTCGATTCTACGTGCGAGCGCGTGAAAAATTGATTTCTTTTAATTACGCTCTCGGCCCGCTGCTTATCGGTAATTGATATAAAGCGCGGCTCCCACCGTGTGAGCTTGTTTTTCTTCGCTTATTCTTCGATACATTCATCTTTGCTCGTCGAAACGTTCCCTCAGAAAAGCAATAATTTTCCAACGCGAGTCCACGTCAACGATCGGCGCTGCCGATTCCTCGAACGCGCGCCAATCAATAACCCCTTTAATAGCTCTTTACGGAGTACAGATATCCCTCGCGATCGAACGCATCGGGATGCTCATCAGAAGCTATACGTATGTATATTTGCTCGTATAACTTTCTGCGAAATAAAAGAGAGAGAGAGGTGACGTTGCAAGTCGGGCTCATTACCCCGTGGCATTATCCGGCCGTTCGAGCGTCCCTTGATTTACAGCTCGACTTCGAGGTAAGCTTTTCCTTCGAGGCGCGCATTATGCACGTCACCTGCTCGCTGTCTGCGCGGGCTTCTCGTTCGCGCGAACCGATGAAACGACCGCCACCTGGCCCCCGCGTGCATTTAATACACAACGTAAGGCTAAGCGCTTCCGACGTATCAATACGGTCCGGGGATTATCATTTTTTTTTTTTTACGCGTATGTAGTTCGATACGCGGAGGTGAACGATCCCTATATACGTTTATTCAATTCAAAACATTAATTCCCGTGGTAATGGATATACTGGAGGCTGGACGAGGTCGTATTAGATTCCTCCCGATGCCACGTGGTATATATATTTTCCCTCGTGGTATCTCAGAAGTGCCGACATACGTGGACCTGGTGTTTCGATGCGCCTGAATAATTGCGGCGCGATAAATCCGCGCGTTTGTTGTCGAGAGACGGGAGAAAGGGTCTGATTACGCGGAATCACATTGACGCAGTTGCCGCAGAGTTGCAAGTATATATTGTTCCCGAAGACAAAGCTTCTCGTCGGATTCAATACCGCCGTTCATCACGTCGGCGAAGTGTTCATTACCCGATACGAGTTCCCTCGGCTGTTCCATCTCGGCGTTGGGGGAAACGTATAAGACAAGATTCAACAATCAATTTGCAAGTGGAAAACATAATGGACGTGCGATCCGTGTGTATACGCGAGCGTTTGAATTTTCATCAGCCCGCGCTTGGGCCTCGTCGTGAAAAATCGCCGTGTCGCGGCGAACACGAGCACTTGAGCGCCCGGCCCATTATGTCCCCAATAAATTTCGCGTGCATTCCTCCCTCCCCCCCCCCTCCTCATCGAGTCGCTCGTACATGAATAATCTCGTCGTGCTCTCGCATACGCTGCAGAGAGAAAGAGGATAATGTTATACCCTGCACACGAAGACGGCGGTGATGATGGTGGTGATGATGACACTCGGCGATGCATCGTACACCGATTGGCTCGTCGTGCGGTGGGAGTAAGTACGTGTACGTGTGTACGTTGGTGCGAAATAATTGAGACTTCGGCCTGCCGTTGCACGGCTGAATAATAATTACGTTACCTGCAATACACACGCGTACACAAGTGTATGTATATACATGTGGCGAGAATATACCTACGTGTTTACGTGTCGATGCACGCGTGCTGCACACAATGGGCTTTTGTTATTCATCCCACCCGACCCCCTCCCTTTCTTTATACCTACGATCGAGAGTCAAGAAACTCGTTCTCTGCTGCTTCGTCTTCTTCTCTCCAGCTACTTTCACTCCCAGCTTCTTTATGTTTCTTCTCATGCGTGCGACGGTGTTTGTTACCATTTAATTGCTGTTAAAGTCATGTAGGTGATGAAAAAATGCAAAATAACAAAGTTTGAAAAAAGACTACGTCTCCTTCTGGGGGAAAGATATTTTTAGCTGAGGAAGGGTTGGTATTGGCAATGTTTTCTTTAAAAAAAATACTTGAATTAGCTCATTTTTGTGATAAACCAGAAGATCGAAAGGATTGGATTTCGTAATAATAAGAATTTCGTTTTTGTAATAGTAAATTTTTCAAAATTTACGATTTCGTTTAATAAAGGCATTGTTTTTTTCTTAATGTTCACATCAACACTTTCTTGAAATGAAAAAAGGTGCAGGCATTGAAAAAAGGACGTTAGCTATGAGGAGTGAGGTAAGTAAATATGTTAAGAAATAATACGATATTTTTTGAGAATAAATTAATATATATATATATATTTATATTGAATATACGATAGATACTGTCTCGAATCTCAGTTTTATGGCAACTACGAAATCGGCCGATCGGACTCGATTACAACAGCTTTTTTGTTTGTCGTCACACAGTCCAAAAAGCTTGAACTTTGCTTTTAAATTTTTCTTTCGAATTTTGTCATCATACAACATTCAACTGTAGATTTATTTGTTTTTTCATTAAGAACTCACTTCTACGGCTATGGCATCGTTTCTCTATTTATCCTGTCTCGAATACATATGTACATACACTCAACTCTTGCTTGTTTTTTTTTTTTTTTTTTATATTATAATTATTATTATTGTTATTATTCGTTCTATTGCTTCAAAATGTATGATCGCCGAACACTGGGTATCCGTTTACAAACTACACGTCGATTATTAAATTACGCTTTCGCCTATTTACAATAAATACACTTTTACGCTCTTCTACTTGTCTCTCAATTTCTTTTCAACGTATTGTATTTTGCTTTTTTTTTTTCTCGGAAAATTCAGTCTGTACAAACCAGAAAAATCAATCTACATAAACTCGAAATGAAAAAGGAAATACACCGGTGGCGGAGAGCTGGGCAACGAAAATTTTCTCAAAACGATTCTTTATCGACACCCCATCTTGGAGCCTCCCCTTCCCCGACAACATTCACAGCTCGCGCGAGCGCCCAGCTCCACTCCACGCTCGGCCCGACACGTTTATTGCACAGTTATTATTAAAGAGTTACGAGGAACGAAGAGAGGCAGAGAGAAAACCCACGCCCCGATAAGGAAGATACGGCACTTTTCCTCCTCTCCTTTCTTCGCTCAGTCTAGAAAGAAATCAGCTAGCAGTACACACACTGTGGATATGTTGGAAGCGATATGCGCCGTGCGGAGGGATGACGGGTCTTTCTCACCTCGACCTTACGTTCGTCGAGATTTGATCTGCAGGGGCTACTCCCCGCGCCCAGCAAAACAACGAATACACTCTACTTATTGTATATCCAATTTTCACAACGCACGGCAGAGTTTTTGTTGCTTTTCTCACTTGACCGAACAACGTTGCCTCCCACATTGGCTCGATCGAAACTCAGTCGCGCCACGGGAGTAACTTCCAAAGACAAATAAAGAGAAAAAAAAGATTAACCAATCGCTGGGCGGGGGTCCTCCACCAGTCAGTCCCATCGGTCTCCGTGTCTTCCTTAGCGGGCCTCTCTCCACCACCTGAGTCAGGACTACGTCAGCGTGGGCGAGGTGGGCAACGAGTTGGCCGACGAAGCCGGCGAGCCGGCCGGCGACTTGAAATCCCTGCCCGCGACTATGCTCACCGGTATCGAGTCCTGATGGCTGTGGTGCAGGTGGTGGTGGTGGTGGTTGGCGTCCGGAGTGCCGCACCTGTTGTTGCCCAGTAGACTGTCGATGGAGAAGGGATTCAGTCGGCGCCTCTCCTCCCTGCCCTTGACCGACAGGTCGATGCTGCTGCTCTGCACGTCGTCCTCGAGGCTTCTCGAGCTGTTCCGCACCGAGGCCACGGACGACGTAGTCGTTGTCGTCATGGCCGTGGTGGTCGACGCGGTGGTCGAGCCGTTGGTGCCCGCGCTGAGACCCACGAGCTCCCTCCGCCGTTCCAGCAGACTGAGGCCCCAGTGGTGGATGCCGGGCTGGTGGTTCAGGTGGAGGCTGGCGTTGGGCCCCGACAGGCCCATCTGGTGGTGATTCGGCAGAAGGGACTTTCTTCGTTGTTGCTGCTGTTCCGACGTCATCGTGGGGTTGTTGTCCGACGAGGAGGAGAGCACGCGGGGGTAAGATTCGCCGTCTATCGAGCCATCGGCCGCCGAATCGACCCTTTCGCTGCCGCTCTCGCTGCACGAGTCCAGTCCCCCGACCACGTCGATTTCCTCGTTCGCGTCGATGCCCGAGATACTGCTGCCTTCGTTGTTGTTGTTGTTGTTCAGGCTGAAGCTCCCGTTGAGGGTGCTGTTGCCACCCCCACCTCCGGCGGCGGCGCTGCGCGACTCCCATTCCGCTCTGAGTGTCGACAGGTCCACCGTGATGCCCTGAGGTGGCACAAGCAAAAGAAGGATTCGGTTTTACATTTATTACGTCATCTGTGGGTTGTTTTTTTTTTTTTTTTCCTTTGAATGCTGGTAAGAAAGGTGCTATCTATTGTGATAATCAATGTGTTACAAGGGTTCTCTGTACTTTCTCACTTTGATGTTATTCATTCCCAAGTACCATTTATGAATATAAAACATCAAAAATAGTTTTCAAGACGTACTTTATACAGCACATGTAGAAACTTGAGAAAGGGTTAACGAATGATTTTTTTTCTTTTCTTAGCTCGTTTTAATAATACAATTGTATTTTCGTGTATATTATAAAATATTGAAAAATGGTTTATATTCATGAAACCGTTCACATTTTTTAAATTTACAGTGAAAGGGTGACAAAAACTCCTTAAATTTATCCCTAGAATCATTTGTTTACATCTTTGTGAAATACATTATCATTTCTTCCAACAAAATTGAAATTTTACCGATACTATTGACAATAAAAGTTAAGAAGGCATACGACCCTTATTTTTTAGAAGGTTAATATTAATCTTTAATTGGTTTATTTACAGTTAAAATGTAACCATGTAATCGAAAAACAATTTATATTCGTAACAAGATTTTATACAGTTATCAACAAATAAGATGAAAATCAGATAACCCAAGAGGAGTAACTATCCCCAACACAAAGTTAACACGTACTTTCTCGAATAACTAGTATTTCATAAAAATCGGTAAATGAAGATTTATTATATTGCACACTTAAATTGCACGTTTACTTGATATTTTTTTTATAAATTACATTACTTTTGGTTTCTAAATATGTGAAAATTAATTTGCTAGGATTATATTCACACAGGAAAATTCACTGCACGGGGAAAATTTTGATTGAATGACTGTTTCATCATTTACGAAATTTTCATTTCATTTTTGTTGGAAAAGTACAAAGAACCTTCTTAACCATACGACATACACTTTTTAAAATATGCATTGAAGGCTGCACAAGATTGAAGGTGTTGAACTGACAACCTTCTCTTTTTCGTTACAACAGTTTTGAAACTAGAAATAAAGTCAGCATCACAACGCGATGTAAGATATATATTTACCAAAAAAGACTATGACCAATGATGATTAATCGTTTTGCAGAACATAAATTATCTAATAGATTCAATCGTTTTATTTCCAGGTTTTGTTTTAAATTCGAATTCATCCCGAGGTACGAATGTTAATTCCATGCGAGAGGGACACAACTTCCGTACCGAATAGCTCACATCCTTGGCGTTTCATTTAATTAACGTTCGGGAGGATCGCGAAAACCCACAGTGGGGCCAACGTAAAGGTCCGAGAACACGCGTCGAAGCATCATCGGCCTCTTGTATATGATACACCGTGCATGATATACGCTAGATTAATGAAGATAACCCGGACTTATTCATAAAAAATAATTATAGTATGCAAATGACCTAATCAGCTGAGCAGCCTCGAAACACCATAAGAATTAATACAACGTCCCAAGCTGCCGTAGACAACGTACACGCATAGCAAAGAAGAAGACGAGGGGGACGGGACGGAATTCGCCATTTATCTACATTTTAATTTCACTTTCGAGCGCAAAATCCAACTTATTAACTCTCGCTCGACCTCCCCTTCCCCTCCTCTCGTATCTTTTGTTTTTTCACTTGGCCTATACGTCCAAACCCCAAAAACAATCTTGGCTCTCCCCCGACCTCGTGCTGCATACTTTTGTGTTTCTCGCACCCATACATGTATGTATATATGTATATATATATATATATATATACAGGAAGAAGCGTGAGCGCAGCGAATGATGTTGGCCCCGAGATTAATTTAGATGGTTATATTCTCACCTTGGCCGCCAATTTCCTCTGCTGCCTCTCGAGCGCCTTCATCAGCTTCTTGTGCCGCCTCTCGCGCTCCTTTCTGCGCAGCTCCTCCGGGGGAATGGGCTCGCCGCTGCAGCTCTGCGGATGGGCGTTGTGCGCCGGCCTGCCCGGGCCCTTTTTCGTGTGCTCCTTCTTCCTCCACTTGGCTCTGCGGTTCTGGAACCACACCTGAAACCACACCGCGCGAGCATACGGACACGCCACTTTTAGTATATATACATTGATATGCTACACCCTTGCAATGGCAGTTTAGCGCGTGTGTCGCCAAATCGAAGGGAACAAGTTGTGTGTTCGGTACCGGACGAGGACGAGTCGTGGTGAAAAAAAAAGGGATAGGGGAATTTTTACGCGCGAGCCGGTGCGCGAGGAAAAGGTATAATTGTACGGCTCAACAGATATAGAGGGTCAAAAAATGAAATACGACCAGTTATTGCTTTACATGTGCTGCGCTTTTGCGCAACGCGTTATAAATTTTATTCGAGCTCGTAAAAATGAATTGAATACCGTGTAAAATGCAGCAACACAATGGCTCGGTGTGCACGGGGCCAAGGTAAGTGGATCAAATTTGCACGAGTGTGTGTGAAGAGAGACAGCCCACACTCGGGGCGCAATGTTACTCGACAGATATCGTATACGCACTGAATACGTCGTTAAATATTATTCTCGCTCGAGCTACACGCTGTCGTTAAGAGCACCCGGACGATATGGAGACGCGTTTTGACGGTATACTACAGCCCGCGCCAACCAAAGGGGATAGAGACATTTGGGAGAAGTGTGGATATATATCCGCTCACACCCAGCGCGTATATATACACAGGAGCTGGAGGAGGGAGGCGGTAAAGTGGCGCTGGGCGCGCACGCGAGCCCGAGTGTATGGTATTATTTCGCGCGAAATCGATATGGGCGAGCCAACCCTTCGTGTGTATGGCTCCGCGGCAAGAGGGTCGGGATTACACAGCTACGGGGAGTTGGAGTCGCGTGTCGCGGGGCTTTTCTTTTTCGCGAGCGCCCTTTTTCTTTCACATACACGGTATACACCCTGCGCGGCTTCCGATGTGATTTGTATATTAAGAGAACTGTTTTTCGGGCGCGTCGGCTTGGTTCTATATTGTTTGGCGCCTTCCAAGGATGTATTTTTATTCGAATCAATTTGTGGCCCGAGACCGCTGTTGGGAGCGAGTTTCGGGTGGCGGAGAAAGGGCTATCTCGGATTGATTTTTCAATTTAGCCCTCGGGGGTTGACGTGCACGTGTGTACACCCTCTTAACTCCCAGGGTGTAACTGTATCGTCGCATCGACAACTCCTACTGCGATGAAATATTTAGAGCCCATAGCATTTGTTTCGAGAGTCAACGAGGTAAATTAAATCCAAAGTACTGAATGATAGTCTAAACTGTCTTAAAGATGGTAAGTTTGCCAAAAGAAACGGAGAAAATTGGTATATAAACCTAGTCTCGAGTTCCTGCCGCGAACAACTTACATAATTTTCCTGTTCCGCGTGGTCGTCGCGAAATTTAACGTCACCGGCGACGACTTTTCTCGGGCTGTACGAGCGCGGAGGGAGCCAACCAAAGTCATAACATCCAGCGCTAATGAGAAAACGCCGTGCTTCTAATTACCCGTCTAATTACTCGTCGCCCCCTCCCCCTTTTGCCCTCAAAGGCTTTGATTAACTGCCGTCTCGCCGGTTGATACCAGCCGTGTAATTCTCCCCAACACCCCCCCCCGACCCGCTTCCATACGCGAGCCTTTGCTTCCCATCTCTCCTAAGTGTTTCGCCGATAAATCTCGAGTTGACGTGTCGAGAATAGCCCGGACGATTTTGGCTTTTTTTTTTTCTTTTGTTCTCGTTGGCACTTGGAGAAAAGAAAAACCATCGGCTGAAAGGAAGACACAGAGTTGTTTACTCGAAATAAAACCAAAAGTAGGTGGGAGGAAGTTTTTTTCGCGCGCACCGATTATGTTGCACGATTGATCACGCAAAAACGCCTAGTCACGTCATGTACGCCGTTGTGTGTGTGTGTGTGTACGTGTACAAGTGTGGCGTGTGAATACGCGCGTGTGTGCTCGAACATTGCGAGAAACGATTAAGCCTTCGTTATCAATTTTCACTCGGTATAATAAGCGAGTGCGTGTGTAAGAGCGATTTCAAGAATAATGATAACAAAATAAATACGAGAGCACGCCACTGCGTAACAAGTGAAAATCTAGAGATTAGAAATCTGTGTAATGATTTCATTTTACACTGTGTGCACGATTTATTTTTATTATTATTATTTTTTTTTTTCTTTTTCATACAGGTGCTAGAGTGTACGTTAAGGTAGTCGGCAGTCTATATCTGGTGTTTAATGTGGAATTTATGTATTTTTGTTGTCACTATACGAAATCCTACAGAAATAATATGTAACAGATAAGAAAAGGTAAAGATTCTGCGACATAATGTAGCCTTGTTTTGATTAAATTAATAACATTGATGAATTCTTGAGTTTTACAGTTTCCAAAAATATACTTAAGAGTTCTGGCATTGGTAAAATTGTAAAAACATTATTGCATCAACGCGTTGAAAATACATAAAAGGAAGTATTTTTTGTAGCGAAGTACGTTAGTTTTGACGAAAATGAAATACACGCATGTTGTAAGACGTATAAATAAATGAGAAGTTTATGATCGTAGTAATGATTGAATGAATCCATGAAACACAGTGAAAAAGGTTTTACGGTTCAACGTGGTCCCTAAACATTGTCGTCGACTACACATATACCCATTACGAAACACCGCCAAGACCACTCATTTCCGAAAAGAAAAAGAAAAGCCTCGCAACGAAACACGATCCACAGCCATGCATCATCATCCTCCTCAAACTCTATTACCCGTGGCACGTCCCTCAGCAGCAACAACAGCTCCAAAGCGACCCGACCGGCCCTCCCGCGCTAGATTTATGTACACATGTCGCCTCTCCCCCTACGGAGAGGAGAAAGGAGACTCGCACGCGGCTCAGCTTCTCCCGTCAAGGGCCGATTCGGTGTACAAGTGAACGCCGGAGAGCAGGAAAGAAAGGAGAGATAAGAGAGCGGCTTCATTATCCGCGCATTAGACCCCTTATCTCGGCCACCGGCGATCCAATCTCGCGCCACGGCTCCCTCGAGGACGCACCTCCGCCTCGAGTGCGTGTCAGGGCCGAGTCTTTCCTTCTTCCCCCCTCTCTTAGCGTTGGGAGCTGAAAAGGGTCGGATTTGCGGGGACAAGTGTAAATCGGGCCACCGAAAGGCAAGGGGAGAGGAATCGTCGCGTGTTTGTCCGACACGTGTCGCTTATTGTCGTTCCCAAAGCAAAGCCCACGCACCTAACGCCCAGTCCATACGGAAGATATGCGACCGCGTACACGGCAAGTACATAAAGAAGGAGAAAATCCTCGAGGGAACGTGTATCGAGCATTAAAATATGCCCCATGCCTGGGGGGTGGGGGTACACGTATTTTGAAGATGATTTGTCGGGAGTTTATGCGGACCTCGGCGATACGTCGGGAGTAATATTGTATATGCGACTGCAGCGTAGAATCCAGTGATTAAAATATTTATCGCACGCGTTTAACCGTGTGAGTGTACACTGGTACGGACGATGGCTTCGACGGGTGTAGTCGCTGCAGCGAATTAGCATAATTAAATTACACCAGTGATTAGCTTCCATTAAAAAGGTTAAGGGCCGAAATATATGACACGAACGGGCCGGACAAAAGTAGTGAGCGAACGGTCGTGTCATTGTTGACCGTTTGCCTTGTTTCTCGGAGCGTGTACTACAGCCGAAAGGGCATAAATATGCCGGACGGAACGGAGCCGCGGAACGTATGTCGCGCCCGAAGGAGAGAGAGAGAGAGAGCAGTTTCTGCCATAGTGGGCATATACGTGTAATGTATATACGCGCGGACCCGACCAGCCGTGAAATTGAGGGCCGTACCCCTTATGTTCCACGCACCGATCGCTCGGACTGTCAACTTTGCTCTCTATAATGTATACGTGTACGCGTGGCTGTTACATTTTAGAGCGGTATCTGCGAGTATGCGATGGGGCTACTTCGACCATATGTGCCGTAACATTTGCTCCCCCGAGACGCTCGGGTGGGAAAATCTGTTTTCTTTTCGGAAAACCGAGGTGGTCCTCCGACGTCCGATCCTTTTTTCGGGCCATGGAAACCGTTTGAAGGGAAAAACACTACGCGTGTAACAAAAAAAAAAAAATGTTGCATATATAACACTTATATTCTGGTTAATGAAATTTTACGGTGAAGATTCGATAAATTGGTGATCGGAGCAAGCTCTGGGGCTCGGGACACCCCCGATCGATTGTTCACAACTTTTGATTCCATTTAAGCGGTTAATTTATCATTCACAAATGGCGAAAGTAGTGACGAATTTTTTCTATCTCAACACCCCACCCAAGACCCGAATCAATGAAACCAAAAACGCAATTCGAAAAATTACAATAACCGCATGTACCTTATATAATATACACCCTCGTATGTATACACACGCATGATAAATAAAACTATCGCAAACAGATTCCCCGAGACGGCTCAATAAATCAGGGAATCCGAAACATCAAAGCCGGCTCTCCGGCACAATATATCCCGGCGCGTACCTCCCACCCACATTTGCACACGCGCGCGCGCGCACGCGATCGCGAGTAGATGGGCCGATAAAAAGCCGATAGGCTGGAAATTTATCGCGCAATAAGCCTAATAAGAAAATTCGCCTCTCTCGCACGCACGTGCCCGCGAGGCGGAGAAGAGTACATGCACGCCAAATCCCCATCGAATCTCCGGCGGATGGACGTTTAAGCGTGACGTATATGTAAGTATATGTGCCCGCGCCACGGGGAAGAAGCAGCCCCGCTGTAGCTGCACACAGCCGCCGGCGGGACGATAAGGCGGACGCGTGTGTACGGACGAGACCTCTGGGATGTGGATTCAGCGAGTACGGGGGAGAAGACGCCGACAAATGCTAGCGCGACGTCTGCCACGTCGACCCCCTCGACCGGTGGATTGTGCGAGCCCACCCTCCCCGTGTGACTCTCATCCCCCCGAGTTCTGGTGTCCATCGCGATAGCTTTGCGAGTTGTGTACACAACCTGCGTTGTAACTACACCGTGTTAGTTTGGTTTGCTTTTAAGGACGCGATCAAGATGACCATTTGGAGATATATATACGAGCTGCTTTTGAAAACGCACGAAAGATCTCAATCATATGGTTATTTCGTGTTTCGTTAACGTTGGGAGTGAGGGATCGGGGTTATACAGAGCAATTTAAGAGCATAGCTTACCGCCACGCGACTCTCCTTGAGCTCGAGCCGCAGAGCCAGGGCCTCCCTCATGAACACGTCCGGGTAGTGGCTCGCGAGAAAGGCCCGCTCCAGCTCCTCCAGCTGCCAGCTATTGAAGTTGGTCCGGCTGCGTCTTCGTTTGCTGCCGCCCTCGTCGCTCTCGCCGTCCCCTGTAACACGCGAAGCACACGGCGCCCGGCAACATCGCACAGCTGCCTTTAGCATGATTTTTTTTTTTTTTTTTTTTTTTTTTTTCTTTACTAGATGCAAACTACGCGCCGCTACCTGCGTATACACCTTGTGGTTCGTCGTAAAATCGGTGGGCCCATCGTCTTTCTCTCGAAAGACAGGAACGAAATGTCGAAGGTGTGCAGTGATTTTAGGTGCTGCGCACGCGAATGCATATTTATGAGAAGAAATCGGCTCTTCTAAGGGTTTCCGTGTGCGCGGATCGGCGTTTGGCTCTAGTCGATCGATAAGACGAATGGATCGCCGTAAGTTGTGTGCATTGCAAGTGTGTGTGTCCGCGAGCGAGGAATGAGTAAGTGGACGATCGACTGCGCATCTTGTTTTCGCGAAGTAATTTTCTCCTCGAGGAATCTTGTTCTCTCGGGGGATTTGGACTTGTAACTGCGAATTGGCCGAGTGTCCCGAGGCTTACGTGTTTGCGCAGCTGTGTTGCTGAATTGCAAGTTATTATTAGAGTTACGTGATGTATTGTAAAAGTGAGAGTGAGGAGTTTTGTGCCAAGCTTAGTAGTGTCGAGCCTGGCTAGGGACGAGTTGAAATGACACGATTTTATTGTGAAAGAAAAAGAAATAGATTTTTTGGAATTAGTTAATGCTCAATGTAATGTGCGGTTGGTATTTTTATAAAAACTTCATTTAAATGAATAATTGGATTGATTAGGCAAAACCTCAGTTAGCAACTTTATGGATTAGATATATGCAGAGTGGACATTCCACGGACATCTGAAAGGTTGTCTAAAACTCGTATGTGTCACACATTGATTACCTATGCCATTTTTAGTCTTGAAAATTTTTTGCAAGACGCATACACTCAAATAATGCAAGTGTACCTGCAAGGATTCTACTGATTTGAGAACTTTCGATCATTTAAAATAGTTGAAGTAAGAGCAAAACTTGGGACAGGTCGAAATGTAAAAAAAAAAAAAAAAAACTGCAATGTCCGTGCAAAAGACGACACGAAGCTCGAATTTTCAAAGCTCCAAGGCCGAATCACTCGAGCAAAGTATAGGGAGTCATCATTACCTCAAACCACTGTCCCTTCCGTATTATGAATCTGTCTCAATAGCGTAATATCGCGTGTGTGTGCTGACGAAAGCCATCAATCGGGCTTTTGCGGACTTTGCTGTACGAGTAGATAAATACATGTGCAAAGCTGGGCGGGGTCAGCACGTGAGACGCAAAACGAAAGAAAGAAGATCGCCACGAGACGGCAAGAACCTCCTTATCTCTCGGTGGGATTGGAGCGTCCCTCCCTCCTCCTCCTTCAATGCATATGCGTGTACAACACGTATCAAGCAAAAGAGAATAGAATAGGAGGGAAGGGAGAGCTAACCCTGAACTTGTCCCTATCGCTGCAGATAAGAGAAGAGAGGGAAGGAGAATAAAAGAGATGTCCCGTGACCGCGGATATTGAATAAACATGAAATTTCATGATTTTACGAGGACGAGAGTCCTTTCGTTGCTACGGCTTCTGCCTATCTCACAGATTGAATCTCTTTTCTATCTCCGCTGCTGCCAGTCCCCACGCAGATGTATACATGCAGTTTTGTTTTGCACGAGAGCAGAAATTGTTTCGGACTCTTCCTACTCGTATGTATGCTAATGCGCCGCGGCTGAATTGAATAGCAGAAGAAAGAAAAAAAAGAAACAGGGAGACAGAGATTGGGAATTGTATGATCGGGATGTGCCTTATCTCTTTGGGGGATTTTCACGTGTATTGTGTACACCGGGAAAAACAAAATATCGTTTGGATTATGGAGCTTCGATTTCTGTTTTCGGGCGAAAAAACAATTCAAAAACGCTTGACGTAACGTCGAGGTAGTAAAAATTACGGTAGATGGCAATTACGATCTTCAGCTGCTTGGGTTCCTAACTAGCCAATCAGTGTTGGTCAATTTACGAGTTGCTTGAATATTCAAATCTTTGCCCTCGCCTGATTGGCCAAAGTTAGACACGCAAGGATGACGCGGCTGTATGAAAAAAAGACTCTGTTGAGTGAGAAGAAAGAAACTGGAAGGAGCGGATGGTAAAGGTTTCTTTTCACTAAACCTTTTTCAAGAGGTCGTTGCATCTTCGAAGAATGGACGATTACCTTTTACGTGCATGAGAAGTAAGATGGGGAAACCAAAATAGAAAACAATTGAATTTTTTTCCTCCAATATTATTTTGTTAAAAGTAGAAAGCTGAAGACACACAGTTGTCATTAGAGATTATAATGATAGGGGGTCACTTGAAAAGTCATCTCGAATATGAGTCATTGGTCGTAAATATTTTAAAAGTTGAGGGATAAAAAATTTTTGGCTTAAATTGAAGGGCTATGACTGATATAAATAACGTTTTAATAGATTTTCCTTACTATATTGCTTTATTGTATTGTTTCTGTTACAAATAACGTCTTTTATCAAACATGTTTGTTATAATAACGAGACCCACACTTGACTTACTGTATTGTGCCACAAGTTTTAAGCTAGTTCCCAATGCCATGCAGACAACATTTTTTGTTGGTGATTTCCATTCATGCAAATTTAACAAGCGCTGCTACCCTTTTAATTATACTTTAGTATACGAAAGCTTGAAACTCAAACTTAACTCTTTTCATTTACTTTTCTCGTGAGACTCACATTTTACGCATTGAATCACGCCAGCTGGCACATACTGATGTATATTAATCGTGACGTATAAGTTGTGAGAATTTTTCGCATCACATATAAGAATGCAACAATTACTCGAGATTTTATACACAAAAGCTCCTTCAAATGTGCGAGTACTCATTTCACTCGAGATACTCAAATTTCTTCATTAAAACGGAGTATTCAATTTCCGGTTGGAATTTGCTAACTACCCAGTCATAATCCAAATTTTCACCGAGAAAATCTCAATTTGCTTCAGCAGCCTGCTTTTCCATGCATATAATATGTATAAACGCACGTATAAAATGTATGATACGCGCGCACGACATGCAATGATTTCGTGTTTCACAGTCGTTCGAATTAAGAGAGTTTTCGTCGTCTCCCGGCACTACTTTGCATATAAATTATAAGTGCTCGCTGCCATCTGTTCTACGACCATGTACGCCATACACCGACTGTGCGAGAAAATTAATTTTCCTCTCTTTCTTGGTTGCACTCGATCCACCTTTTTTTTCAAATGACAATGACAATCTAATCAAAAGTGTTCCAATTTTGCACGCATATCTGTGTACAACCATTTTTGGGATGAAAAAGGAGGTAGGTAGCGAGTCTATATGTGTTCCCGTCTTTGAGACTAGGCGAGATAGGGCAGCCTAGTAGATACCGGTAAAAAATTTAAAGTTTTCGCAAATGACAGTAAGTGGAAAACAAACCATACGTATGCACACAGTTGAAATTACGTCGTCGTCTTAATTAAATGCAATTTACATGTGTACCAACGCGCATATTTTTCAACGAGAAACGCTTTGGGTTATGAAAACTCTATTTATGTATACTTCGTGTCGTCTCGAAGCAATGAGAAGTCAAGTAATTGCAATTTTTTTTTAACCAAACCTAACCATTGCATTTAAAATAATTTTATGTATAGTTTATGCGGTAGTTTTAAATGATTTTCCTATTAACTATTCCTCTACTTTGTTGTCCACTGTGTACCTTACATTAGCAGCAGCATATACGGATCTCATTGAAGGTCCAATTTTTGTGACATTTAACGCAGAAATTTGGCTTAACACGTAATAGGTCATTACAAACCCTCGGATTTATGCAATGTGTAACTGGAGCACGTCGTCATTTATCCTTGTTGGCTCGATCACTCGTAAGGACATCCCGATTCTCTGCTCACATCACGACAAGCTTTCAACTCAATCAAGGGGTGAGGATTTTCTTATTGATTCAAAAGTTACTGCTCACAAGCAAACACGCGTAATCCAATTATACTTTTTTTTTACTTTCGAGGGCAAAAAAAAAGGAAAAAACTAGCAAGGATCTGACCGTAGAAAAAAAATGAATCACAAGATGAAAAAGACAGGGTACTAGCCGACGTGAGTTAGAAAACATGATAATTATCAGCAATCGATCGATGTATAGATAAATGGACCAGATCTAAGTACCCTAACATCACTGGAATTTACGCGATCAAATTCTCACGTTAGATAAACGATAATTTTTTGCCATCTTCTGTATATTGTTATTATCATCCGCGAAGAGTTGAGCGAAAATAAAGTCTTAAATCTTCGTGTAATTTATTTTTTACTCAAACTTGTGACTAGTTTTTTTTTTTTTTTTTTTTTTTTTTTGCGACAGACTACAACGAGCTGTGAAATTTTTTTCAAAAACTCGTTTGCACGTTAATAATATACAACTCCATATAGATAAACGTGTAATTAGCGTCTCGTTCATTATATTTGCTTATGTGTACATTACACTTACAGTCACTAAAAACAAATTGTGAATATTCTAATGGCGTGTACGCAAACACAACCCGTGAGCTGACGAAACACCAGAGCGACCGATTAATATTCATATTGCGAAAACAATTACTCTGGCTTTTCCAAGCCACGCATTACGATTTTTGCAACGCCATTGGCGTAAATATGATCCTTCAAAATTTTTCCAGAGTTTCCACACGTATATACTTTCAAGCCGTTCTGACGCAACATCTTTTAATTTATTACACTCGTCAACGTGTCACTCCACCAAACGGTTAAAGTTCCAATTACGATTATTTCGGAAAATTTGGCAACCTCTACCGCCCACTTCACGACTGTTTGATGAAAAGGAGGAAACAAAATAAAGCCCCTTTCCCCCCAAATTACGCACAATTTATTTCTTCCCAACGCGCACGTTACCAACAACAGCAAGACCATACACAGCCCACAAATCAAAACCTACATCAGACACTCATCAACTCCAAGCGTACAGTGTACTATACCAGCACTCACCTCGCGTCGG